CTTAGCAGCGATGGAGATAGAACCTGCAGACTGATCCTGAATGGTTACATGACCTTCATAATTAAAAGATACGAATTTTGAAATTAATCTCAATAAGGAACTAGAAAGTTCACCTATACTCTCTTTTCCTTCGATTTGGGAGGCATGAGCAACCAAATGCACATGTAGACTATTAAGCAGAGCCAAAGGTAAGGGTAAAAGGATCAGATTTAACGATTCTGTAGTTCTGCTACAAGAAGATTGCGAGAGAGGCATTGGATTTCCGTTTGTGAGTATCAATTACGATCACAGATTTTCTGTAAGCGTAGCACAAGTCTCGAAGAATGGCGATAAGCGAAATGAGCGACTGATATGAAAAAAACAACATATCTGAAATAATTAAATGTCTCTACACTAAAATGAATAAGTACTACAATGAACCATGGCTGAGACCTTAAATGCTACTAACCACAGGCATTTCTGTGGTAAGAAATATAAATAATCCATTGAACAAACAGAACAATGGGTGAAGTTCAACGTAACAGGAATAGCATTCGACTTCGCGTCTCCTCTAGTTTCGGTGCAATGAGGGTGCAATGGGATGTAAATCCGCCGGTCTGCCAAGAATTCTGATCCGCAAAAGTTTCTAAAGGTCAGACATCATAGTTCTGGGTAATTCTGCTGCTTAAGAACTGCTAACTTTTGATGATGATAACCAAACAAAAATTCATTAGGTTCCGCATAAGCAATAAGCAACATAAACTTAAAACTGTGGGACAAATAGCCGTGCGACTTCGGTATTGTAAAGATTAACCGTTGCTGTTTTTATTTTCTCGAAACAGCAAAAAAGCTACTCTGAAACATATCCGGCACAAGCAAAAACTTTACAAAAAGGTCAAATTTTCAGCTTATGGACAGGTGGAAATGGACAAGGCTGTGTGTGCTGATTATCAGGTAAAATAAGCACTAGAGTCGCAAATTATCACGAACTGTAAAATGGCTGAATTAACCAGTAACGCAGATTGCAATGCTAACCGGAGCTAACACATCCCATGGTCTCAAAGTGGACGATCTGTGAAGAATACCCTGAGCAAAACCAACATAGAGAGGTTCGTTGAACGTTGAACGTTTACTGGTTGAGCAGGATGACTAAGAAACAAATAACAACGAAAATAAAACAAACAAAGAGAACCATAGCCAAAACTATAAGCAAACCCACGGTCGATCTACTGGACAGGATAACAGTCACGTGATATAAAAAAGAAACAGAAAGGATGTAGTGTTCAGTTGCTCGTAAGCGTTAAGGGATCAGACGTTAGAAGGCGTAGATCGTACCTATAAGGAAAACTATCAAAGAGTGCATACCATTCCATAGTGGTTTACGCAGCATTCGAATATCGCATGGATTAGTCGTTCGGCAACAAACAGATTAGACAAAACAATGACGTAGATGAGCTACTATCAAAGTGGAAGACTAAAAGCTTTAGGCCGGGAGATGATGGTGACAGACTGTATGTCTAGCTATCACGCACATGACCACGTCCCTTACTGGCTAAAGTCGGCAGGTCAAAGACGTCGACGCAAAAACGACCATTTAAGGACCCCCTGTAATAGCGCTGCAACATGGAGAACAGTGTATTTGTCGACAGGCCCGTTTTGGTAACTCACTTCCTTCCGAGAAGTACGCACTACATGTCGGATATTCAAAAAAATATGCTGAGTACTTTGATATAACAGGTACTTAATATTTACTGAACGAATTTTTCCACGACCAGAAAAAGTTTTGAAAGAAAATGAATGACTGGATTATTTCCATATAAATGAGTAAAATTCTAGTCATAACGCGTATTTTGTCATTAATAACATGCACGCTTTACCTCTTTATGAGAAGTAAAGACGATTATCCGATAAACAGCACTCTCTAAGAAAATTATATCCATAACATTAACTTCATTTTCAAGTGAAGTACCAATGCACGTCTTCATTTGCATAATCTGCAGATCCAGGTATATTATTGCATTATCATTTGTTTTAAAGCAAAACATTTCTATTTTTACAGATAAATTTCCCTAACTCATATACTCGACCGCAGTCTATGAGGTATCGCAAACATTGAGTGAAGACCTATCGTCTGAAATTCTAAGATAAGGGTTCCTTGTATGTCTGTCACGTTATCGTCATCGTCTTAGCCTAACAACGCCTCCCGGAGCAAAATGGCTCTGACTGGTGATGCACTTACTTAACCGAGTTTCTAGACATTATATTTGAACAGCCATTAGTTTTTGGCATTGTCATTAGTCCAAGGCGTTAATATAATTCCCTTTCACTGAAAAAAGGAAGCACCATTACCATGGCCAGAGAATCAAATCAGATCATATGAACCGAAGTACGAAAAGTGCTAAAAAGAGGTTCGACAGAATTTAACGAAAATTCGCAAGGATGGTCGTAACGTACTTTTTCCAATACCGTAAAAGCTCCACGCAAGAGTAATACACAAATACGTACCACATACTTTGCATTCTTAAACATATGTTCATTATAACATTATTTCACCGCCAAACTTTTGGTTAAGAAAATCGAGCAGACATGATCAGTTCCAACCTCTAAGAAAACTGGACGACAGGTCGATTCTCAAGAAATCCGTCATCATCGTTCGTTACCCGGCTACGCAACGAATCAGAAATCAATCGATCGTTCAAAACATTTCACTCCATTTTACAAGGGGCAGAGAGTTCATCAGAAGGTCTTAAAAGTTGAAAACCTTTAAGAAGGCACATCTGTAACTCTACCCTCAACTGGTAGCCAGGCAAGAGTCATCATTACGGTTTCTAAGCTCCTAAGCGAGTTTCACAGCTGATACGAAGAAATCGAAATCAGCTGATCCAGGGGAAGAAATTATGCATCTTTTTAGGCAGAAAGCCAACTTTTACAAATGTCAGCTGCAGAAGCATAAAAATTTCAACGCGAGCACTGAATCAACTGGTCATCGATGAATAACACGCAGAAAAAGCATTTATAATGAGCAGTGTGAGAAGCCGCCAACTGCCTCTGTCGCATACTCGTCCTATAACCTAAAACGGACAATAAACGGACCCAAAACAACAAACCCAAAATGGACAACAAATCACGAAACTTATCCTTATATAGTAAGTAGGGTTATAACTGTTCGTTATGACCACAACGGGGATCACATACGAATACCTCGATGAGTTGAAGGATCAAATAGTTGAAAGATTGGAAAAGTTTCGTAACCGGAAATACAAATTAAACTGGACCTATTGTTACTAAATTATTAAAACAGATCACCTATACTTTACCCAGTAATTACCATAGTTTACAGATAGGGTCTTACCTCAAATACACAAGCAGCAACAGTACACTATGAAATTAGTTATTTGCATGTTCTATCCTACGCGTCCGTTTTACAGAAAATTCTCATTACAACGGTAACAGCGCAATTATGCCGCATATTCAACAAAGTATACATGTACGCGGAGGCATGTTCGATAACGCGCAACTCCTTCAAAATCAGATTATGCAGCGTATTACAGCGAGGTACATAACGCCATTAAATCTCGTCTTTAAGGAGTTATGCTTTATCTGTCAAATTAGAGGAATTTTTGGCTGAAAGCATGGTCTGAGAGCACAAGTCATACTGTAAAATTTAAATTGAAGTTGTGTGACAGGGGAAAAACTATTCACAATACGTCATGCAATATCGTATAAAAAAGCCAGATCTTGACTTCATCTTTTGACTCTGTTTGATGAATACGACTTGGTGCACAGACCTTGGTGTTTAGAGGAGATCGCGTTTGAGGATTGCTTTTCAGCATATTTTAAGTGAACTGCTTATGTGAGTTCGAATTCTAGAATAAATGCTTATATACATCAGAACTGAATTTCACGGCCAAATTCTTTTCATCCGTTCGTCTCATATGCCGGTGAACCTATTTACATTATAGGTCATTAACTCAAATATTACCGCTCCTGGAGTGCAATCCTCTGTTAGTAGTATTTCGCGAATTCGCATATGCAGAGCCGATGCTGAAACGCTATTTGAAAAAGCAAATATTGCTCTAGCAAAAAATTACTGTGTCAGTTTTTGTTGCCAATCATACTGAAAAACAGAATGAAGCACGGTTTATTAATACACAATGCAAAAATTTATATTATCGGCAAGATGATTGAGCACTATCGACGTTTCGACCAATATTTCACGAGATTTCTTTAAGGTATGAGACTGGTAGAGCTTCGCAGCGTTTTTTTGCTGCCCGCTGCAGTTGCTAAGCTTGGAACCAGAAGCCAGGCTTTTAATTCGTGCAGCTGGGTGTTCCAGGGTTACAAGGGCGATAAACTCACCCACTCCTCTCAGAGTTCGTATCCTTTCGTCATGAATAACATTACTGCAAGATTTCATGATTAATGCCTATTTGAGGCCTATGCGGTCAGTGTAAATTTTCGATAATGTTGGTGCGCTCTGACCATTGGAGGGCGTGTCAGTGCTCTACCTCATACTTCACAGTCTGGCCGGTTATTTACCCGGTTCTCTGACTTTGCTGGGGCGAGATTTTGCTTCATTCCCAAGTGCTTCGTTATCACCTATCGCTCGCGCTCCTCCGCGATCAACCATCTTCTCTTGTATGACAGGTGGCTCTTTCATTTGTTTCTTCTATCCAGTACTTCTCACAGTTACACATTAATTTGCAAATCCAGCCTCCAGAGTTGTCATTATCAAAATTACTTAATCAGCATCAAATTTGTAAGTGCTTCCACACTTACGTTAGTTTTATATCTAGTTTCCGCTTGTAACTTTCACTGAAGTTGCTGTGACATCGTGGGATTAAGTTAATCTTAATATTTAAAATATTATCGATGTTATTCTTGTTTTTACAAGTTGTTTCAAAGTTTCTCATTGTAGGGTTTATGATGTTATTAACGAAATTAATCGGATAATAATCGTGCAGCATATGGAATAGCAGGGATACACCATAATGGTCAGACGCACTAGCATTATCAAAAACATTGCTTTTAGGCGTGGAAAGGAGGTATTAATTAATCAGTCTTGTTACAGTGTCAACCATGATAAAGGATGCGATACGCGGTTTGTATGGATCTTATCGCCGCTGCTGCCTAGAAATTATGTAACCAGCAGCACAGACCACAAGCTCACATTCTCATTCCAAAACTACTACCAACTGCAGATTGCAACAAAGGCTACTGAATCATTACAGCTTCTTACCTCGAAAAAAGAAGAGTGCATCTAATGAGGCACGAGTCGAAACGTCGGAATGGACTATCATCTGATTGATCGCATTATATTTTACGGTGTATAATCATAAAACCGCGTCTATGCTGTTTTTTTACAAATAAACTTGTACGAATTCTCCTGCAGTATTCAGATATGGTTACCTACAAAACAATCACCTCTGCTAGCAGGAAGGGAGAATGAAAAACACTGTAAAATGTAGTTTTTTGGAAGTTACAAATTCATAAATTTTGAATTCATGATCCAGTTGCTTGCTATATGCGCAAATTAAATAATAAATAAAACAACAATGATAGAACAAATTCCTAAATGTCTTGAATACCTGATAATGGTGTGCACATCACAAATCAGAGAGGTTTCGCAAACGTAACTGGAATAAGGTGATGATCGAAAATGCACAAATACTCAATGTCTGTGACTTGATTGAAAGAAAAGCGTTATATTCAATGGGAGAGAAGCACCTCTCACTTAAAAATGTTACAAAGTATAATGCCGAAGTGGTCTCTAATATGAAATGCTTGTTGTTTTGTATGTCAACAGTCTGCAAGCTTTCAGACGCATTCAATACGCAGGCATACATTTAGCATGACAGCCTTATTGAAAATAAAGGGTTCGAAGGACGCTGGAATGAATATTGCAAGAAACTGATGGTAGATGATTGCAACAAATGGGATATAAAAAGCAGTTCATGGGTTGATATTTACCCGCTTCTTCGCGGGTAATAATTTTTTGGTTTAGACAGGGAACTGAACTATTTTGAAATAGTACATGAAACGGATGAGGAACCTGAAAAATTCTGGCCTATGGAAGCCAACCCATTCCAATGGATACCTCCACCTCGCGGCATGTTCCTCTCCTGGTTTACTTAGGAACGTTGTGAAGAATATGAGTTTACGAGTCCAAATCTGACAATCTTTACGAAGAAATCTGTACCAGACTCTTCTAAGGAATGATTATCGAAGAAGAATTCTTGAAGAAGAAGTTCTGCAACCCAGCTCGAACTTAATGATGTCCCGGCCATGTGACCGATGGTGATTTTACCGTTCATACATCGAGTATCTCAACGTACTAGGAAGTATTTTCGAAGCATGGGGTTTCGAGTCCACTACAAGACTGGAAGAACATTGGGCAATGTTTTATTCAATAAACACATGTCCAGTAACATAAAAGAAACGTTAAATGTTTTATTTAAAGTTTACTGCGATATGGTGTACGTTGAAAAGATCTACTGGGAGTTAAACATCCGGATCAAAGAGCATCTATCTGGGTTCAGCCTTGGACAGACGGACAATTCCGATATTGCCCAGCCTGCAACCACCGAAGTGATGATTTCAGTCAGAGGAATGTGTCAGTCACGGAGAAAAACAATTCTAAGAAAGGATAAAGAAGTCCCTGCATATTCTGGCAATGAAGTACCGGATGTGCAATGAATCAAATCTTTCGTGATTTTTGATGAAAGCTGGGGCACGATCACGAATTTAATACACAAAATCAGGTCAAGTTAAAGAACCAATTGCAATTTTAAATTAAACTTAATATTGTGCTTGTTTGTTAGCATTCTGGTCAAACGGTTTAAAGTGTGGGCCAATTGGAAAACAATAGCATTGTTCTTTTGTTGGATATAAGTGCCTTTAAGGCACCATTTGTGCTCAGTCAAGCCCTGATGATGCGAGGGTCTGTGTAGTCAAGCGCGTTGGCAAGGAAGGTTTTACTATCTACTGTGTCTGGTGCCCTGGCCCATAAATCCTACATAAATATGTTACGAAGACTGTTCATCGGTAATTTGACGCTGAAAACTAACGAATGAAAAAAATAATCTGACCACGACAAATTCAGTGCTTCGGCCAAGATGATGAGTCTAAACCATGCAAGCCAAAAACTTCTGCGTCTGTGTCTTCATAACCTTCAGCCGTTTGCGGCAGCAGACTATCGTTGGTTTTTGATCTCCGCTATGTTCTGTACAGCTGAGCTACAGTCTGCTAGAAGGAACAATGCCTCTTGCAGCAAAGATTTGCTGCTTCCTTGTTCTTTCAGACTGCATGCATGCTGACCTTCGTTTTGATGCTTACTGTGTTTCGGTTCCCATACGAAAAGCTGGGGGGGGAGTGGGGGCTAAAGTAAGTAGTTTGTGCAACAAAAACAATTTCAGTCTCTTAGTCGTCTTCTCTACGAAGCACATGAAAGTCTGGCATAATATGTGTTATAATGGCCCCTCCAATTAGCCTTCATTATAAGTCTAAATCAACGGTATTTTAAGAAGTTCAACCGTCGGTGGTGGTAATTTATTATAACAACTGCCTTTATGACATAGAATATTGGCATCACCGACGCAAGGTGCAAATTGTTCTTATCACCGCGAAGGCTTGTCAGAAATCTCAAAATGGTTAGATAATGAGGCGATGGTAACTGATGGTTGACAGATCGGCTCCTTTGTTTATGACAAGAATACACGGTGAGGGAAAAAACTATTTACTTCTTTGCATCTGAAGAGTAGACTTGAAAGTTAATGCCATAATTTAATCCAAAAGAAAGCCTACTAACGGTAAGTCATTAATATTTACCTCTGAAATAAAAATCAGGTTTAGATTTACACGGAGTATCATGCAACTCGTGCACTTCTGGGCAAAAATTTATCGATAATTTATGAACTTAAGTTCGCACAGCGTCTAATTTTCGCACGCAATGCTTCCTCTAGTCGTCGTCGACCTGTTAGCATAGGTGTGCATAAATTACGTGATTTACATTTGAAAGCCTGTGGTACAAAACCGGCGGTAGTCCCGTTTTTCTTGGCATTGGATTTGCGCAATTTGCTCGCTTTTAGCGATCTCGTTTTCTGTTCTGTTGAGTCAGTTGGATAACCGGTATTGGATATTGCCAACAGTCGGTCAGTTTGTTTGAGTTACTAGAGTCGGCGTTACTCACCTGCCACTGAGATAAGATCTCAAGCCAAATTTCAGTGTAAAATAGCATTGAACTTACTTGGGATAGAATTTTAATGATAGAGGTGAGTTTCACGTTAGGCCGTTGGTCGTGCAGGCCAGTTTCGGCCAAACCATAGCCTAAGTTTCCATGAACGCTGTTTCGCTTTCGACTGATTATACAGGCTGACTGTGTAATAGGAACCTCAGCATATAGTTCTTAGGCTATTTGATAGCAATTTAGCTGTTTGGGAGTTCAATAATAATGGAAAGGAGAACACGTGACGATGACAGTGCAGATCGCATAATACGAAGAAGCAGGCGCATTCGCCTTATGCCTTAAAATAATATTGTTGGGCTGGCATTTTGGCAAACCATTCGACGAAAGGTTCTTTGACTGCTGTTCGAAATGGGAGAACCGGACATTTAAGTTCGATTTATCAGAAAGTATGCGTCGTCTGCTTTAGCTGAATATTGAATGATGCTTAACTGATTTAAAAAATTTACTAGTGATTTTCAAGCGTTGAAAATTGATATCCTTTTCACCCTGGGTTTTGCTCTCATTAACAACACATGGCGACATTACACGAGGGCGTTGAGGCTAAGATTGAGTCTGACAAAATCTTCGATTTCTGACAAATGATCGCAAATGCCATGCCTCGTCTTCATCGAAGAACGCGACATGACGAAAAGCATGACTAGTGCGAACTCGCTGCGTCGCTGATTTCCCAGTGCATTTCAGAAGTAAAGCCAATGGAATTACACAAATCGATCAACCCGTACGCATTGGACGTGGATTCTGACCCCAGCTTTTCAGATTCAGCGCCTTTCATTGTCGATTGGTAGGCCAAGCGAAACAGCAGGACGGTCATGAGAACCATCGTCAACCTGGCACCTTTAAAGCGGAAGCAAAAAGCGAATGGCTGTATTTTTTGTCTCGCTGCCACAGTTACGTCTGCAGTGGCGCAGTTTCGTTGTTTCGTTCTAGTTTCTGTCCTTCGGCATCTCTAGCCGCTAGTCATTCCTCAACGACAGCGGTCTGCATTCGATTCATCGTCATAGCTGGACTACAGTAACCGAAAATGGTGATGCAATGTACGAGAAAATATGCGGCCCTCACTCTCGCTTATGGTGATTCTCAAAGGTGTTCATCTATATTGCTCCTCAGGTAAGCATCTGATGTCCTATCATAGCCGTTTATCCCGTTCGACTCTCGCTACCTTTTTATATATGACCTTCAGATGTGCTTGAACAACGGCTGACCGGTTGTGTTTTCGAAGTCGGTCAAGCTGGGACATTTTAATGGCATCACCAGGATCGTGTCGCGGCCTTAAATTGATGCGTATTTCATCCTTCGATACTGACCGCCGCCTTAGTCGTCGCAGATCGGTCTCTCTGGCGAACCAACACATTATTCTACAGGCGTCCCAACTGTAGCCCAATTAATTCAAGCCATCGTGATGGCGGTCAACTCTATATGCATTTACATTTTTCGTTTATTCTCCATCCTCTTGAGGAACAAGTGCCGGACAACGTCGTTTATATTCTTATCTGTGTCGATGATTTTCATCGGTCTGCACCATTTGAAACCGGAGGACCAACTATTGGTGCAAAACAAAAGTTCAGAAGCTTTCTTTGTAAAGAATCACGCCTTCGATTGTCGTAAGATATTCAGCAACGATACGAGAGAAATACTAGCCGCAATGGGTGACAAACGGTCGATTATGACCGAGTACGAATCCTACCGGTTGTTCGGTGACTGTTCGAAGTTGTTCGTTCGCCATTATTATCCATCGGTGCCGAGAACGGCTGAAGAAGAAGCTTTTCCTCTGGCCTACGTTGTCCTGGTTAACCAGCACTTGGAGCAGATAGAAATCTTGCTGAACGCCATCTACGCCCCTCAGAATCTTTACTGCTTCCACGTCGACCTGAAAGCCTCGCATCTCATTCATGCAGCCGTTGAACGTCTAGCGAGATGTTTCCCGAACGTGGCTGTAAGCCGTCGCTCGTTCCCCATTTCACGGGCAACAATAGACACAGTCGAAGCATTTCTCGAATGCATCGAAGAGCTGTACCAGCTGGAACAGCGAAACAAGGTCACCAATCCCTGGCGGTACTTGATCATTCTGCAGAATCACGACTTTCCCCTGCGAAGCAACGCTGAAATAGTGCGTATTATGCGACTGCACAACGGCGCCAACGACGTTCAACTGACCAGTTTCGATCCTCAAAGAATCGAGATGATCTGGAAGCCACTGCTGAATGCTGACGGTGCTCCGGAAGGAGTCGAGAAGAAAACGGGCGTTTCTCGAGGACCCCCACCTGAAAACCTGAAGCTCTTCAAGGGTAGTGTGTCCGTGTCGCTCAGCAGACCGTTTTTGGA